TGAGCGCTCTGAGCTACTGGTCTTTTTTCCTGCCATCAGGGAACATTGGGAAGGCTGCCCAGGGGTAGTTTTAATCACATGAATTGTCAAAGAAAAGGGGGGAAAAAAGAAAAAAAAGGTGAAAAAAGTCAAAAAGTGGTGTTTGTTCGGCACTTAGGTTCCCCGGAGGGGCTGGAAATGCACAGGGGTGCTCTTGGGATGCAGGTTTTGGTGTTGGTCATGGCAGGGATGGAGTGGGATCCCGGCGGGAAGGGGCTCGGAGCTGCGTGAGGGGACATGTCCCCCCCTCAAAATAGCCACCGGCCATTTTCTCCGAGCCGAGGTCACTCCATCCATGGAGTTAACTCTGGCGTTACGCTTGATCCTTGGAGGATGGCGGGAGTCCGAGAAAGGAAAGAGCCGCTAATCCTCTTGGCCAGCATCCCGTAGGGATTGCCCTCGGCCGGGGCTCAGGGCAGCCTCCGGCGGCAGCAGCTGCCCCCGCCGGGGGCCCGCGGGGTTTCACCCCAAAAAGACGTACCAGTGAGAGCAGAAAGCGGCCACATCCCGGCTGGAAAGAGCATCCTCTGCCCCCCAAAAAAAACGTGACGTGTCCCTGCTTGGCCGGGCGGTGGGTCCCTGGGGCCGGGAGCCGTTGGGACGAGCCTTAGCTTCTCATAACTGAATTTAGTGCACTTAGTCTTTTAGGGCTGGGACAATCTCTTAGCGCTTAACCTTTCGCGATTCGGTGCCTGCTTGACCTTCAAACCTTTTGTAGGAGATGAATTCAGAGCCACCTTTTCTATCTTTAATAAGGCAGAACAAATACGTTTATTTTTAAACCCTCCTGCTCATTCCTTTCCTCTCGTGCTGACAACCAAAAGACTCCCCTGTGTCCCCCCGCCATTTCTTGCACGCCGAAACGAGTCTGTGGCAGCTCCGGCCAGATCCTGCTCTCCCACCCCCCCAATTCAGGGATGCTGCCACGGGGGGGTTGGCACAGGGCAGGATCCGGCCGCGTTATGAGCGGGGAGGGGATGTGGGATGGTGCCCGACCCAATGCCACCCGTCACCTCGCTGAGCCCTGCTGCCCGCCAGCTGTGCACATCTGTCCCCCTGCCCCCTCCCGGGGGCACCATCTTTCCTCCACCCCCCAGAACACAGCCCAGTGCTCCCCCAGGCCTGGCCCCAGGCAGTTTGGGGACCGAGACCCGGCACCAGCTCACACGGGCAGGTTGGCAACTGGGAGCACTGGTTTCCCAGGGGTAAAATGCCGAGTCTGTTCGCTGGGGCGATGGTGACATGCAGCGATAGAGGAGCTGATGGATGCAATGAAAGTATCTGTACCTTTTCCACCTCCGGTGTTTCTCTGTCTCATTGCACATATATTTGAGATATATGTGACAATGTATATATATTTGTAAAATGTATTTCAGATGACAAAACTGGCCAATTTTATGTTATTTTAAATATATTATATATATTATATATAAGAGTCTCCAAAAGATATAAATAGACTAGAGAAAATAATATAAATATGTAATAAATGTATTTTGATCTATTTAAAATACCTCGCGTCATGCTGTATATTTTAAAGATCATAGGGAAGTGTCTGCCTGTCGCAAACTTCAAACGTGGTTTCGAGGCTGTCAGTTGTCACACATATAATATATATGTGCAAGAAACTTTGGGGCCAGTGGGACAAAGACGGATGTTTTTTAGGAGCCTTTTAGCAAATGTCCGTCCTGCTGCCTCTAGGTAGGAGCAGAAACCCAAAATCTGAATTTTCCTCGTTATCCTGCAGGAGAGGATAATTTTTCCTCTCCACCGGGGAAGGGGCTGCAGGGATGCTCGGCAGGATGGGGGAGGTTGCCGGATCCCACCCTCCCCGCGCAGCCCCCCACGTGGGTACCATTTGCTCTGCTGCACTGCCCTGACGGGCTTTCGCCAGGGGACCGGATCGCAGCGGCTCAGCCATGCGGGGAGCCCGGAGATGGGAAAATGTGTCTGGAGCCCGGGCAGAAAGAGCCCAGTCATCCGAGACTGACCCGACAAATCTTCCCAGAGCGACCTTGGTTGCCCTTGGGCTCCACGAGGCATCACCTCCTCCGGGGACCTCAGGGGACACTGCGCCACGGCCAAGTGACAGTTCAAATGTCTTTAATGGTACGTCACGGCCAAAGGAAAGC